TCTGGGCAGCAGGAGGTGAGTGCTGGTGCCAGGGAGGGCTCTGCCCCCGGTTATCCAGCTGGGCTTTGCTGCACTGCCTGCAGCCCTGCTTGCTGGGGAGGGTCCTGAGAGCTCCAGAGCATCCCTGGGGGGCTCAGGATGCAGGGTCCCACCCTGTGCTCAGCCCTTGCTGAGCCTCACAAGGGTTTAGCCCTTCCTCTCCTCTCCTCTCCTCTCCTCTCCTCTCCTCTCCTCTCCCCTCCCCTGTCTGTCTGTCTGTCTGTCCTTCAGCACGCCTCCCCTGTCCTCTGACAGCCTCCACCAGCTCCTTCCTTTTTAAATTTAATTTTTATTAGCACATTCTGCAGCCTTGCAGCGAGCCGGGAATACCAACAGGACAGTGAGGACAGCCAGGCGGGCAGCGGGAGCGGGGCTGGCCCCGGAGGGATGGACAGACGGACAGACGGACAGATCTGCAGCCAGCCCACGGGCACTGCCTCCTCTGGGTTCGGTCAGAGCCACCTTGATATGAAGATCTCCTGGAGGCAGGTCTCATAAGCTCCTGGAGATCTGTGTCACACCCGAGACAGCTCAGCCACCTCAGGTGGCACCACATCAGCAGGATGGCTCCTGGGGCACTGCTGGAAACGGAAAAGTTTTCATAAAAGGCAAAATAGCAAAGCTCTTTACAGAGAAAAACCGAGCCTCTTGCCCCTGGTAAAACACCTCACAAAAGCCATCACTTCCTTTGCTCTCTTCTTTTTCTACTGAATTTTTGGCTCCTGTCCAATTGGCTATCCTTAAATTCGAGATGAAGTTCCTAAGGTCCTATAAATTGTATTTTTACCTAATTAAAGAGAGAAACTTCTAGGCTTTTTTTTTTTTTTCCTTTGCAAAGAGACAAAAGATAATTTTGTCACTCAGTCAACAAGGGATGCATTCCTACATCCCCTGGGAAATCAGAGGAGTGCAGGGCAGGAAAATCCCCCTGCTCGGGTGGGTGAGATGGGGCAGGGAGCTGCTCCAGAGCAGAGTTAAAATCAGCAGCAGATGACGAGAAATTCATCCTGACTGGGGAAGTGAGTGGCTAAAAATAGCAGCAAGGTTCTGAGCTGTGACAAGATGGGCTGGGAATTCTCCTGCTGACAGATGTAAAATGGATCAGGGACTGCACAATGGATCAGGGACTGCACAATGGATCAGGAACTGCACAATGGATCAGGGCACTGCTGCTGCCTCTTGGGGTACCCAGGGCTGTGCCTGCCTGTGGGGGAGCACAGTGGAGGTGCTGGCTGGGTTTTGCAGGGTCAGCACACACTGATTTTGGCATCTTTGAAAGCCCAGCCCCGTGCCCAGGGGAGTGCAGAAAATGAGGAGTGCAGCCCCTGTGGGGCTGTAAGCAAAGAAATCAGTCAGCAGGGAATACAAATCCTCCCAGAAAGTGCAGGAAAAGCCCTTCTGGCAGCTGGCCTCCTGCCTCAGCCCTGGGAGGGCTGCCTGCCCGCCCAGCCTGTGCTGGGAGTGGGGAGGACCAGCAGGAGGCTGTGCTGTGCCACCAGAGTGATGGGACAGGTGACAGTGCGTGGTGACTGTGGCTGCACACACAGGGACAGGCACAGGGACAGGGACAGGCACAGGGACAGGCACAGGGACAGGACAGGGACAGGGACAGGGACAGGGACAGGCACAGGGACAGGCACAGGGACAGGACAGGGACAGGGACAGGGACAGGGACAGGCACAGGGACAGGCACAGGGACAGGACAGGGACAGGGACAGGGACAGGGACAGGCACAGGGACAGGCACAGGGACAGGACAGGGACAGGGACAGGGACAGGGACAGGCACAGGGACAGGCACAGGGACAGGACAGGGACAGGGACAGGGACAGGGACAGGCACAGGGACAGGCACAGGGACAGGACAGGGACAGGGACAGGGACAGGGACAGGCACAGGGACAGGCACAGGGACAGGACAGGGACAGGGACAGGGACAGGGACAGGCACAGGGACAGGCACAGGGACAGGACAGGGACAGGGACAGGGACAGGGACAGGCACAGGGACAGGCACAGGGACAGGACAGGGACAGGGACAGGGACAGGGACAGGCACAGGGACAGGCACAGGGACAGGACAGGGACAGGGACAGGGACAGGGACAGGCACAGGGACAGGCACAGGGACAGGACAGGGACAGGGACAGGGACAGGGACAGGCACAGGGACAGGCACAGGGACAGGACAGGGACAGGGACAGGGACAGGGACAGGCACAGGGACAGGCACAGGGACAGGACAGGGACAGGGACAGGGACAGGGACAGGCACAGGGACAGGCACAGGGACAGGACAGGGACAGGGACAGGGACAGGGACAGGCACAGGGACAGGCACAGGGACAGGACAGGGACAGGGACAGGGACAGGGACAGGCACAGGGACAGGCACAGGGACAGGACAGGGACAGGGACAGGGACAGGGACAGGCACAGGGACAGGGGCTGCTCTGGTCCCCTGCCCCACGTGCTCCTACTTGCTCTTCCATCTCTGCTCTGCCCTAAGGCAGTGGAGTGGCATGAGCCAGTGCTGCCTGTGTGGCTGTCCCTTTGCCATTGGTGTCCCCTGCTTGTCCCCCCAGCCCCAGGGCCCAGGGGGAGTCTGAGCTGCAGCTGCTGAGAGAAAATCCCCCCGAGATTCCAGGGAGTCCTTTCCATGTGGGGAGCATGTTTAGGATGTGTGTGCCCATCCAGACCCTTCACTTTGCTGCAGCCCTTTGCAGCACTGGGGGTGCTGGGGAAGGAAAACCCCTCCCAGCCCTGCCCTGTCAGCCCCCAGCACACTGGAAGGGGCAGTGTGGCAGTGCCAGGCTCTGTTAGTGAGGGCTCCTGACCAAACCCTTCATTTCCCGGGGGTGGGGCTGGTTTTGGATGCAGTTGGCCACTGCCCAAGGGTCAGAACAAATTGCAAGGTGATCCATATTGATTTATAAGCATGTTTATTTTTACCAGCCTGGCGTGTTCCCCACCTGGGAAGCAGCAGTGCTTTCTCTGGCAGGGATGAGCAGCAGGAGAGCTTTGATGTGGGCTGGCAGGCTCCCTGCAGCTCCCCTGGGGCTCATCCAGGAGGGGCTGAGCTGCACCATTGCTCTGAGCAGGCAGAAATGCACGGCTGCCTTTGCAGCAGGGGCTCTCCCGAGCTCTCCAGCTGAAGTGCAAAGGCAGAGGGATGCAGGAAGGGTTTTCCATCCCCCCATTCCCACAGGTGCCCCCGGGCTCTGCCCTGCAGCGCAGGCACGGGCAGTGCTTGGGCTGGGCTGTGGATGCCCACCCAGCTCCTGGGGCAGGGTACCCCCCATGCTGCCACGGGAAAGGCAACTCCAAACACTTTCCTGCACATTTTCTTCTCCCTCAAGCCTTAGAAGTCCCAGGAGGGGGATTTCTCCCTTTTCCCTGTTCTCAGTCCTGCTCTGGAGCATCATAGAGCACTGCCAGGAGGTGGTGGCTGGTCCCCACTGCCACTAATGACAGGGCCAAGGGGTTTCCATCCCACTTTTTGTCATCCACCTGCTCACTAAAAGTGCCCAATAACCAAGAATTTCTGCAGAATCAGGAATCACAGTCCCTCTTAGCTGCTCCCCTTGTGCCCAGTGGTAAAATTCCCACTTCCCTCCAGAGTGTTCAGAAATGGCAGAGCCAGAAGCCTGGGATTTCTGTGGAAACAAAAAGAGGGGCTGGTATCTTTTTGCCTCATGCCATATTTTATTCTTTTCCTGTTGAATTTTATATGTTTTATTTATGGGGGACTTTTTATGTAATACTTTTTCCTCCTGGTGGCAGGAGGCCCCTCTGGGCTTCCCTGGGATGCAGGCAGGGCTCTGCTGGTTTCCAGTGGCTGGAGGGGTTCTGCTTATTTCCAAAGGGGTGTTGCAAGTCTGTCACCTTCCCGTGGCCATTTCAAGGCCATCATGGCCAGGTGACATCTCTGCCAGGCCACCTGGGTGCCACCTTGGGAGCTAAGGGAGGTGCCACAGTGGTGGCAGAGGCTGCCCCTGCTCTGTTGTCCCCTCCCATTCCACATCTGGCTGGGGACACCAGGCAGCCCCTCTGCCATCCTGCCCAGCAGAGGGAAACTGAGGCAGGGAGGGGTGCTGTGGGGCCAGGGGCTGTGCCCTGCTGCTGTGGGGTGCAGCTGGCCACCACAACACCCTGGCACAGGTGCCCAAGTGGTGTTTGCCCCCAGCCCACCTGTGGGCAAGGCAAGGTTTTTGGGTTTTTGGAGAAGGGTCCCCACAGGGTGGCCCACCCTGGTCCTGGCCTGCCACAGCCCAGCAGTGTCCCCGAGCCCAGAGAGCCAGGCCCTGCCACCTCGCTGCCTGGCACACAGAGGGGCATTGAGGGACACAGCAGGGCTTTGTCCCCTGCGCTGCCGGGAAGGGGCCGGTTGCCCTCTGCAGGCTCCCTGGGCTGCCTCCACAGCTGCAGGGCACAGGGGCACCCATGGGAACCCTGGCACCCATGGGATGGGGGGCACCCAAGGGAGCAAGCTGCACCTGAGGCCACGGGGACCCACGAGTGTCCCCACCAGAACGCCACTGCCCCATGGGGGTCACAGGGCTGGGGGAAGTAGCTGCAAGATTCCCAGCAAAAAGGGAAAGCTTCCCGTTTGGAGCCCTCAAAGCTGAGAGCAGCTTCCTGGGATGGGAAGCCCTCTTCCCTGCTGCAGATGCTGGGAGTCAGGGAGGTGACAGGTGACATTGCTGCTGTCCCACAGGGCCAGACTCACACACTGCCTCAATGGGCAGCTTGGACAAACACAGCCCGGTGGGGCTGGGGGATGTCCCCAGAGCCACCAATGCGGGGGGACAACCCCCTTCCCTGCCCCCAGGCTGCTCTGTCACTTTTGCAGAAGCCTTTTCCCCCAGGAGGCTGCGGGGGCCGCTGGCAGCGCTGCCCGGGCATCGCCGGACACCCGGGAGCTGGCAGCCAAGGGGTGCTGGGGGGGCCGGGCAGGGCGGGCCCGCTCCTTTAAGGGGGGTGGCTGTCACTCAGAGAGCCCTTTTCTTTGCTGGAGAGCGGGACAGGCACCCAGAGGGGGAGTCCAGGGCGTGGGAGCCTGGCAGGGAGGCTCGCACAGCACCGGAGCAGCAGAGCCACCGCGGGACGTGACCAAGTCCAGCACCATGGGTGAGTATGAGGTGAGGGTGGGGGACACCTGGAGAGCTGCTGCTGCTGGCTCTGGGACCTTATCCACAGCAGAGCCCACTGAAAGTTTCCTCTGGCACTGGTGAGGTCCTGGTGACCCCACCGTGCCCGTGCTGGCTGCGGGAGCTGCCGAGGGAGGATGCCTTGGCACGGCAGGGATGATGTTTTCTTTCCCAAGGCGGTTTTCTGTCCCCATGTGCTCCTGTGGTGTCTGTGAGGGCAGCTGCCATCCCCACAGCCTGTCCCAGCCCAGCCCTCACCCCGTGGGCTGGAGAGATGAGAGCCCCAGCCTGGGGCTGGCAGGAGCTGGGCACTGAGCCCGTCACAGCTCGTGCCACTTGTGTGCCAGCAGCCTTGGGAAAACAGAGGCACACCTGTGCCTCAGTTTCCCTACTGAGACAGCAGAGCTAATACTCACCAGTGTACCCCTGGGGTTTTAGGGCTGCTCTGTTCCCAGGGGTGCCCTGTTCTGCTGCCCCACTGCCTTCTCCTCCTGTCTGCAGCACGTTGTTTGGCGCTGGCAGCAGTGGAGCCTGGGCACAAGGCTCAGGATTGTGTGGCACAAGGGCTCTTTCTCCCCGCCTTTCCCCTCCCCAGGCTTCCCCCCTGCAGCTTCCCAAAGCAGGGGCTGTGGCAGGGAGCCTGCCGGGCCCTGCTGCATCCTGCAGTCCCCTGGGAATGGAGCTGCTCACTGCCCCAGCGCGGGCACCTCCGTGCCACTCCCGGCTGGCCAAAAACCCAACCAGAACAGGCAAGTTTGGCCCAGCGAGGGGCCAGACCCTGTGGGTCCCAGCGAGGCTGGGAGCAGGCTGGCCAGGATGAACAAGGCCCCCCTGGACCTGCTGTGTCCAAGGCAAACAAGAGGGAGGGGTCCCAGCACTCCCCTATAGCGCTGCCTTTGTTCCCTGTTTGCTCTTGGCGTGGGGCAGCACTGGGGTGGCAGTGCCAGGACAATCCCCCATTGTCCTCGGTGCCACTGCGCAACCTTGCTCCCCGTGGGGAGGGGAGAGCTGGCCAGGACCCCACGGCTTTCTTGTCCTGCTGGGGAGGAGAGAAGCACTGTGGGGTTTGTGGAGGGAGCGTGGGTTTGCTGTGGGTGCCTTTTTGGCATCCAAGGCAGAAATTCTATGCCCAGATGGGATGTGCCCAGGGAGCCACTGTGCCCTGGGCAGTGGGGTGCCAGAGCCCACGTCCTGGGGAAGGGGAGCAGCTTCCCCAGGTGCCACAGAGCCAGGGCAGCAGCTTGTCCCAGCTTGCCTGGAGCCAAATGCTGGTGGGTGCAAACCCACCTGGCTGTCTGCTCCCAGAGCAGGCAGGACACAGCTGGCTGGGCACCTCCAGAGCCAGCTCACAGGGAAGCTGAGCCCCTGTTAGAAACTGGCTGGCACCTGCAAACCCAGCCCACTGGGAAGCTGAGCCAGCACTCCTGCACGGAGAGCCCTGACGTGCAGAAGGACCAGGTGCCCATGGCCTCACTCCTGAAAAAATCCAGCATTTAGGCGCTCCAAGCAGCACACTGCTGTGTGTCCTTGCTTTCTCTGCCCTCACGCAGCTCCTGGAGGACTAAACCTATTACACAAGTGTTGTCATTTGTGGAGCTAGCACGGCTCTTTCCTACCAGCACGTCTGCCTGCACAAAGGGGCGGCTGCAGCCCGAGCTGCCTGCGGGGTGCCAGGCAAGGGAGCAGTGCCCACAGTGCCACCTGGAAGTGCAGAGTGCTCAGGGTGTGTGCTGGCTCCTGCTGTGCTGCCCCAAGCAGGGCCACCTTGCTGGATCTCCCCTGGGGTTCGATTCTGTGGAGGTGCTGGCTTCCCCTCCATCTTCAATGGCAAAGCAGAACTGCAGGCAGCTGTGGTGGCCGCTGTGGTGGCAGTGGGGAGCCCATTAGCAGCTTGTTTGCCAGGTCCCACTGGCATTACGCTATGTCACGCTCTATTTCCATCTGTTTGTCATGGGTCAGCATGGCTGGCTCCTCACAGCCCCTGTGCCCCATGCTGCCACCATCCCTGGGCACCCTTGGGTGGGCTCCTGAGCTGCTGGGAGAGCTCTCAGGGGAGCTGCTGGGTTTGGCTCTACAGCACTGCAATGGGTCGTTTCTGGGGTTTTCCTTCCACCTGTTTCCCTCCTCCTGCAGGCACCTGTCTCCCACTGCGCTCGTGCCCCTGAGCTGCAGGCTCCAAGCAATCCTTGTCCCAGCAGTCCCGTGCCACCTCTCCTCTTTTCTCCACAGGTTTACTCGAGTGCTGTGCCAGATGTCTCATTGGGGCACCCTTTGCTTCCTTGGTTGCCACTGGCCTGTGCTTCTTTGGGGTAGCGCTGTTTTGTGGCTGTGGGCACGAAGCCCTCACAGGCACCGAGCAGCTCATCGAGACCTACTTCTCCAAAAACTACCAGGACTATGAGTTCCTCCTCGATGTGTAAGTACCCTGCTGCAGAGCACCCGCCTCACACCGGGGCCCCTCACAGCTGTGTCCTGCTCCGTGCCAGCCTGAGGTGCCTGGCTGGGCTGGCCGGGGCCAGGCTCTCACCCGGGCACCAGGAGACCCCCAGCTGCCTTTGCCCACAGCTGCATGGCAGGGCCCGAGTGGCCACTCGTTTTATTTCACACCAGTTTTTATCTGACCCTTGCTAGGTGTCCTGGGTAGAGCTGGACCTCTGCACGGGGTAGGTATGGAGGAGCTGGGGGTGTCGGCGGCAGCCTTGCTCACCACAGCTTTGTCCCAGCTTGCTCCTCCTGTGGCTTCACCCTGTGTTTTTGGTCCCCTTGGGGCAGCGTGGGGAGGGGAGGCAGCAGCAGCGGCCGGGCTGCCACACGCAGGGCTGAGCTCTCCAGCACCTGAGCAGCCCTGCCCACTCCTGTCCCCCACAGCATCCACGGCTTTCAGTACTTCATCTACGGCACAGCTGCCTTCTTCTTCCTCTATGGAGCCCTGCTGCTGGCCGAAGGCTTCTACACCACCGGCGCCGTCCGGCAAATCTTTGGGGACTACAGGACCACCATCTGCGGCAAGGGCCTCAGCGCAACGGTAACTGGGGGCCCGAAAGGGAGGGGAGCGCGAGGCCCCCAGCGAGCTCACTCGTGGCAGCGGGTGTGTCATTGTTTGGGAAAGTGGCTAGGACATCCTGACAAGGTGATCTTAACCGGGGTTTGGCACCCCTTCGCGCGCCCCAGCGGGTTCACCAGAGGGCAGGAGACGGCGGCCGTCCGGGTTCTGGGATGTCCCAAAGGGAAGCACAGCCCTGCTGTCCTCCTCCAGGCCTGCCGTGTTTCCTGGGGACTAATGCAGCCTAAATGGCTACGTTTAAATAAACTGCTTCATGTTTAAACATGGGCAGGGAGAATCCGAGCATCCCTGCAGTGCTGGCAGCTCAAAGCCCTGTGGCACCCGGTACCCCTGGGGTCGTCCACTCCCCTGTGCTTGGGAACTGTGACAAAGTGCTGGCAAAGGCATCCTGTGCCCTGGGGGAGCAGAGGGGCACGGCTGTGGTTCCCTCGGGGGCTGGTTGGGGTGGCACCATGGAGGGAGGGCAGGAGAGCCACGTTGACACCCAAGGCAGCTTTTGCAGCTGCCCTCCCGCAGCGATCAAACCCTGCTTGGCCGCGGCCACGGTTACCCCTCCCCAAAGGTGGCAGCATCCCTGCTGCTGCCAGTCACCCCCATGCACACAGCCGGGCGTGGATCTGGGACTGGCACTGGTCCTGTGAGCCGCAGGAGCCCCCAGCCTGGGCTGCCATCCTGTGCTGCCTGCCTGGGGACACGCTGCCTCTGGCCAGCAGTGCAGAGCTGGGCGCAGGCAGCACCGCACTCCCCACCTGCCCCACGCCCTCCCCGGCCTGGGGAACCTCGCGCTCCCCTGTCCGTGGCCTGGGCCGCTTGGTAACCGCGGCTGTGCCCGGCTTTGTCCTGCCCCCTGCAGTTTGTGGGCATTACCTACGTCCTGACCATCATCTGGCTCCTGGTGTTCGCCTGCTCCGCGGTGCCTGTCTACATCTATTTTAACACTTGGACCACCTGCCAGTCCATTGGCAACCCCACCAAGACCTCGGCCAGCATTGGCACCCTGTGTGCGGATGCCAGGATGTACGGTGAGTGCCGGGTTCACCACCCAGGAGCCAGCCTCAGGGCAGAGGAGGGGGGATGGAGGGCAGGGCCCAGGCACGTTGGGTGGGATAAAGCAGAGCAGGTGCTGAAGAGCCCCAAAATGCTGGGCGGTGTGTGACAGGTGGCTGCAGGAAGCTGAGCAAGGAAGCCAGCTGCCAGCCATGCCCCACTCACCTGGCTCCCACATCTCCACAGGTGTCCTGCCCTGGAATGCTTTCCCTGGCAAGGTGTGCGGCTCCAACCTGCTCTCCATCTGCAAGACCAGCGAGGTGAGTAACTCCTGCCACCACACGTGTGCTCCCCTCGGTGGGACACCTCGGCTCTGGCCTCCCCAGGCAGCACAGGGGACCCCGTGAGCTCACCCTCCTGTTCCCTTGCAGTTCCAGATGACTTTCCACCTCTTCATCGCAGCCTTCGTGGGGGCAGCTGCCACGCTGGTCTCACTGGTGAGTCAGTGCTCCCCCTGCCCAGCCGTTCTTCTCCGCCTGGCAAAGATGTGGGGGAAAAGGACAGCGAAGGTGGTGGGCATGGATGGGACAGAGCCTGTGCTCGTGTCGTTTTCTGGCACGTAAGTGCAGATGGTGAGTCCAGGCCATAAGGTAGAGGTGGCTGCAGGAGGGGATCTGGAGAGGCTTTAGCAGACTGCCAGGGAGAGGTCCCAATGCACGGAGTGCCCTGCCTTTCCCCGGCGCTCCTCCTGTTTACACCAGCGACACGGCACCGCGGTGGCACTGCGGTGGCACTGCGGTGTCCCGGGGCTGCAGGGCTCTGCAGGGCACTGCTCTGTGTGTGGGGGTGTGGGGCTGGGGGCTGCCCCCTCGCTCACTGTCCTCCCACCCACAGGTCACCTTCATCATCGCCACCACCTACAACTTCGCAGTCCTCAGGCTGATGGGCCGAGGCACCAAGTTCTAGCCCACGAGGCGGAGCCCAGCCAGACCAAACGCCCTTCTTTGTCTAACCCCGAGGCTTTAACACTGCAGCCACCTGACACCAGGTCTCCTGCGTTAACTCTGCCTTCGCTGATGACTCCCCTCCTCTTCCTCCCTCGCATCCATTGAGCTGAGGTGACCAGGAAGGAGAGCCTCCCACCAACGGACGCCTCTTCATGCACTTTTCTCTCGTTGCTCATCCGTAGCCGGCTCGCTCTAGAGCCAAGCCCAACAAAACCAGAGAAGAGGAGGGACTTTCTCCAATGTCCCAGTGTTGCCTAGGGATGAGCAAAGGCCTTCAAGCTCCTGGGAGGAAGAAATCCATGTAGGTTGCTCCATGAGTAGCAAGAGGCTACCTAGAGAGAAAAGGAAGTTGGCCCAATCCTGGTACCATTGCTAAAGACTCTCCTGGAGCTGTCTGCTGTCACCACCCATGGATGGAGAATAAGAGAAGGATTTTTTTCCCTTAGCAGAGAAAGATGAATTTAACCTAAATCGCCAGCTGCAGCCACGGCAAAGGGAGTTCAGGGCAAGGATCTTCCCAGTGTGGAGAAGAGAGTGCTGATCCCAATGCCGATAAAGCCCTAACCCAGCTGCTCCTATTAAAGCCTAAAGGAGTTTGGTGTCTCTGTAGACAAGGGGGACCCTTGGCTTTACCCTCCAGGCAGCAGAGAGGCAGCAAATAGGTTTGACTGAGGAGGGGACACCTCTGCAGCAAGCCCTGGGAGCGTAAAGCCAGAGCCATCCCTCCGTAGGCAGGGGATAACCCTCGGGACCGCGTGCCTCGCCTGCCCTGCCAGTGCCCTTCACAATGGTGCTCTTCTCTGGGGTGATGTCTGCTTCTCTAACCTCCACTGTGCCAGAGAGCTCGGCTCGCTTCCCCCCCTTTTCAAATGTAACCACCCCTCCTTCTGTCCCTCTCGCCCCCTCACTTTTTTTCCTGCAAGTCAGGACAGCTGCCTTGTGCCTGCCAGGGTGGGAGGGACTGGCAGCATCTTGCTTCCAGGTGAAACCCATGAAGGAATTGAGGAGGGAAGGAAAGGTGGCGGTTTGGGGGTCACAGGGTGCAAACACAGCCCGTCTCTGCAATCCAGATCCTTACTGGTGCCAGTCTTTTCCCATGGAGAGGGATGGGGGGCAAGGGGTTGGGTGGAGACCTCTTCTCCATGACTGTTCTCCAGCTGGAGGAAAGCCCTCTGGCTGTGTAGCATGGATCCAGCCAGACCTGCAGAAGTGCTGTTTCCAGTCATCCCTGACAACTGGTGATTTGTTTTGCTCTCCCTGCCTCTCTCCTTAGTGCTAATCTTTGTGTTTATTTATTGGAGAAACTAATTTCAGTGGCAGACTGAAGCTCCATCTTGCATGGATTCTTTTCTCTTTTTTTTTCATGTCTGTATTGTTGTTATATATATTTTTAAGTGCTGGTTTCAGCAGGGGCAAGGATAAGGAGGCAGATCTGCTGAGCAGTGCATTTGAAGGATCCTTGCTGCCAGGAATGCTGAAATAGGTTGGCCAGGCTACCAACGCACACGGGATGGGGAGGGGGGAGATGCCAGCAGGGGTGGCAGGGTGGGGAGAAACCAGTCAAGATCTGGAAATTCACATCAGTGCTATCTCTCTTGGGGGTTTGCTGGGGTTTTTTTTCATATCCATTTAACAAAGAATAACCAGGTCCTCCTTCCCACCCTTGTCCCCAGACCCCACACACGCACACACACATACACACACACATACACACGCAAAAAGAGTTAATCAACTGAAAGTGTTTCCTTCATTTCTGATCTAGAATTTCAACTTGTTAACCAGCAATAAAAAGGAGCAAGTTTTTAAAGACTTATCTTACAGGATGTATTTTATAAAAATTAAAGAAAATACATTAAAATTAAGAACATTCTGAACAAGATGTACGTCTGCCTGTCCTTTTGTTGTGCTGGCTTTCCCACCTTCTTCCCCCACAAGAAAGACAAAAAAAAAAAGGGGGGAGGCTCTGCAGGGAAAGGGAGGCTGCAGAAGAGAAGGTCTCAGAGGAGCAGTACTTGCTGACCCATGTGTGGGCCAGCAGCCCCTGCAGGACTCTGCCCACTCCAGCCACGAGGTTCATAACTCTGACTTCAAAATCATTGTTCCCAGCTGGTGGGGGGGCCCTTAAAACCTCTTATTTCTCCTCCAGCCACCCTGAAGAAAGCTGGGGTCTTGCAGCAGCTGCTTGCTTGTGTTTGGTGCTGCTGCTGCCCTTTAACACTCGGCCCACGTGCTGACAGCCTCTGCTATGTCTCCTCATGTAGCACAACAAAACCACAACAAAACTAACAGGACATCTCAAGCCAAGCTGGCTGGCACTAAGGCAGCATGTGTGGGATGGACATGGCCAGAGCCATGCAGGGTGGGCGATTGTCTCGCTTGCAGAGAGCCCTGTGTGGAACAGGATGGTCTTGTTTAGGCACAGAGGCACACTGGACAGTCACAGAGCCCTACATGTCCTGTCTGTGGCTCTGTGGTGCCATTTGCTGCAGGACTGTTTACCATGTCCACAGTGCTGGTGTGTGGGAGGGCATCAGCTGCTGCCTTTCTGCCCCAGAAAACCTTAGGTGCATTTTTCCACAGCAGATGCTCAAAAATTATTGATTTAAATATTGTTTCTCTTGGAAATCTCCCCAGAAGCTGTGCCCAGGGGCCTCTGGGGAGTGAGGCCACAGAGGGATGCTCCCAGCCCCACAGGTCTGCCCAAAAATGCAGATTTCAGGCACAGCCACTGGAAGTGGCAGGGTGGGACCTTCACTACTCTTCCTAGATAGGACCCTAGCCCAAATCCCACTCCCCCTTCTCTTCCCTGGCTTCAGCCCCCTCCAAACAGGCAGCAAAGCTGCCCATGCAGCCCGGCCAGGGGAGGTTTAGCTCATGCACTGCTGCTGCCCCAGCTCAGTGGCACAGCTCGGCCTTGCCCTGGCTGACAGAAACCCATGGGGCTGCAGCCAGCATCAACAGGGCCCTTTGTTCCCTGCGTTCCCAGATGCCATCACCCTCCTCTCCCCATGCTGAAAGGGTCCTGTGTGTGCACAATCAGCCTCTGGGCAGGAGCGAGCTGGGGAACAAAACACCATCTCTTTCCCCTGGCAGAGACTGGTGCCCCCCCGGCCGGGTGCGGGCTGGGGACAGCAAGTGCGAGGTGGCATGTGAGAGCAGCCAGCAAGGCCAGGCTGCTGGGCAAGGCCCAGGGCCAGATGTAGCCCCATCAGGTGTGCCCGTGGCCATGCCCCGCTGCCACCCCACCTGGGGACATTGGAAGTGCCCTCAGAGCTCCTTTCCTGGGCACCCAGCGCCCTCCAGGAACTGGCTGAGAAAACACAGGGAATAAGCTCTGCCTCATACAAACCCCATCTCTGTAAAAAACTAAACCAAACCCAACCACATCTTGGTCCATCAGGAAAGCTCCAAGCAGAGGACACAGTGCAATCACCTGCGGCTAAAATGCGGCAGCACTGTGCTCCCGCAAAGGCTGGACCACAGAAAGGGACCCTGGAGCAAGTGCCATGGGCCGGTTCTGGCAAGAAGGCAACTCCCATCCCTCCATCCTGTGCCCTGCCGCCCCGGGAGACGGCCCTGCGTGTCTTGGGGAGGGCAAAAGAGAGGGGAGGCGATGGCGGCTCCCAGGGGGTGTTGGTGATGAGCATGGCACCCAGCCCTGCGCTCAGACAGCCCCCAAGGGCGAAGGGCCGCCGGGCTGGTGGCCTCCTCCGCATCCCCGAGCCTCCGGGCGCGCATCCCCGGTCCTGCGGCTCCTCCCCGCGGCCGCGGGAGGCAGCGGCTCCTCGGGCAGCGAGCCCCGGTCCCCGTCTCTGCGCTGCCCGGACCCTCCCCCGAGCCCCCGAGACACAGAGAGCCCACCAGGGCACACCATGAACACACCAAAAGCTCATTTCTCTCAGCATGGACTCGGACTCAGCCCTGGAAAGGCTGTGCAGATGATGTGCTGGTTTCAGCTAGGGCAGTTTTCTCCACAGGGGCTAGTACGGAGCTGTGTTTTGGATAAGCCATGCCTGGCAAGCAGCTCTGCCTGCCAAGGCAGTACCGTGCCAGTGGCATGGTGCTGACACCCACCTGCCATGGCTGAAGTCCTCACCTGCACCTGATTTAGCACACAGCTGCTTTCTCTCTCTCTCTGCATGGTCCAACTCTGCCAGGAGCTCCTGTCTGAAGATGAGGAGGGAATAGTTAAGTGGAAAGTCACAGAATCACAGAATGGCCTGGGTTCAAAGGGACCTTAACAATCATCCAGCTTTCACTGCCTGCCACAGGCAGGGACAACTTCCACTAGAGCAGGTTGCTCAGAGCTCCGTTCTCCCTGGACTTCAATCCCAGTTAACTCCCAGGGATGGGGCAGCCCCAGCTTCTCCAAGCAACCTGTTCCAGAAGTCCTGTACCTGCACGTGGCCATGTGCATCAGCCCCCCAAGGACCCCAGGAAGTCATAAGGAAAGAGCTCCTGCACCAGCCATGTAAGCACTGGGCCAGGGGCTATCTCTGTCCATCTCTGATTGCTTTTGCATGAGCAATCACTTCAGGAGGCTATCCACCATTTACAGATTAGCCCAATCTCTCTGTCAAGGGACTCTGACTCACCTGTGGCCTTCAGATAACCACTGATGGAGCTGCCATCACCTCCCACCTGGGCAGTGCCGAGTGCTCCCAGTGTCAGAGCTCCCCAAGCCTCTGTTTGGAGCTGGAGCTTGGAGTAGGGTTCAGAGGTTCCTAAAGGGGCATTTTTAACTCTTTATTCATTCTGCTTAACCTCAGCTTCACACAAGAATATGTTTTATCCAGAGATCCATGAATCTCCTCAGAGTTTATTGCCTTGAGGAGCAGCCCCAGAGCTGAGGAGGAGCTGCACTCAGGGAACACCCCTGGTCACCAGAGAGCAGCCCCAGGGCATCTGCAGCCACCGGTGCTCCTCAGAGTGGCTCTTGAGGAGAACCCAGTTCCCTTAGCCCACCACCAAGCAGCTGCATGGCTCTTCAGGAGCACTACCCAGCCCAGAGCAGCAGAATCCTAAAGAGGGCAGTGGGAGAGAAAGATGAATGGGATCAGGACACTCCTCACGCCTCCTCCTCTCCAAACACACTGGGATACCTACAGCAGCTGTCCCACACAGAAGCAGCTCACTGCCTTCCTTTGGAAACACTCCTTTGCCCTCCAGGGATCCTTCCTCTCCTCATGTATGACAAAACCCACTGAGCCCTCTGCCAGAGCTGACAGAGGGAAAGTGCTGTCCCACACAGAAGCAGCTCACTGCCTTCCTTTGGAAACACTCCTTTGCCCTCAGGGATCCCTCCTCTCCCCATGCCATGAAAAACCCACTGAGCCCTCTGCCACAGCTGACAGAGGGAAAGTGGGAATAAGGGAATGGCCTTTCTATGGCTCCTGCCTCTGCCTGCACTTCCTTACAAACACCTCACACCAAGGGAGTCAGCAGCTTCTGGTGCTTTCAGACAGACCCTTCCTGATGTGACACAGCCTCACCCAAATCCCACAACCCCACCATGCCAGAGCCATCTCCCACCAGTGCTGACTGTGTTTTCAGCTGCCTTTTGAATAGCTGAAGTAGTTGGAGGACCCCAGACACTCCAGTCCACATTTAAAATGCATGGTTTCCAAGGACTTTGAACCCTATGCTGCCTCCTGGAATCATGGATAGCGCAAGCAGACCAGAGAGGAAAATAAATTAAAACAGTCTGCCAAAAGAAACAGCAGGCACAGGCTCTGCAAACACAGAGAAAGTCTCCCAAAATAAGCAGCCATCCTGGCAGGACAGTGAAAGAGAACAGTCCCCATATGCTGATTTCCTTGTCAGCATCCTATGGAAATCATGCCTGGCTAAAACCCCCTGGAGCCCGAGGAACCAGTTCCAAGATCACTGGAAGAATTCACAGGAAATTACTGGACTTGCTGCTGAGAGCCCAGGCTGAGAATTTAAGATGTAGTGACAGAAGGAAGCCATGTGGAAGATTTCTGTTCTGAAACTGTTTTCTGATTCTACTGAAAAGGAAATCTGCTCACTGGAGTTGGCTGTTGAGTTCTGATCCTTCAGCTCCTGGTCCAGGTAGGTACATGAAGGAATATCCCTCCGATCCCTTAGTGACTTCTCTCTGCCAGATGCTGTAACTAACCAGTCCTCAGAACAAAAACTGACTTCAACATTGATAAACCAAGAAGGCAGCCACTTCCCAAACTCACTTGAATACATCCATGTTTTATTTGCTTAAATAAAGGTAGAATCTTGGTTTTACAATTCCAGTTCTGTAGCAATAGCAACAACCGCAGCAGCACAAGGGGACACGGGAAGGGACGGCTGTTGGCACTGGCCTTGCAACAGAGTTCAAAATCCTGGCTCCTTTGGGAATTGTGCGTTTCATTTAAAATAAATTAAACAACTGAAATATATTATACTCTACCTTAAAAAAAAAAACCAGAAGATGTAAGCGTAGTATAATGGTGGGGGGGGGTAATATAAAAAAAGTCAATGGTCCAATGTCTGTTAGAAATAAAAGGTGCTGTGTAACACATGCACAACAAGGCTCTTCAGCTTTATCCACAAGGGTGCTACAAACAGCTGCACATGAGCCTCCTGCACTGTGGCATGCCGAATCTCTGCCCTCTTCCGTAGGAGGTGCCAGTCCTCACACAGATCCCAGGAGATCCATGGGAAAGTGGCAGTTTCACCTGCAGGGAGCTCCCTCAGCAGCCCCCCTGCCGGGGGGCCGGCATACAGGGACTTGAGTCTGTTCTCACCCTGAGCCCCTGCACAAACCAGCTCCAGGGAATGAGCCTGTTCAGGGATGGAAACTGGAACCACAGGTCACAGAGCCTGGGACCTTGGAGGAAATATCAAGCAGTGCTAATGAAGAAAAATCCAGAGGCCTCAGCAGGTCAGACACAGTTAAATAAACAGTAACAATAATATCCTGTAATAATTTCACCTAGAGAGGCAGAACCTTCTCCTTCAGGGAGCTGCCTAAATAGCATTCACTCCCCATGAATACAAGTGTTCAGGCCTGTTTAGAAATTAGACCCCCCTAAAGCATTAATACTCCAGTCCCTTCCACACGCGCTTGCCCTGCAGACAAGGGCAAGACCTCCGTGGGTTACCCCAGAAGAAATGGGGGAAAATGCTCATGCTCTGCATGCTCAGAGACTGTGCCTTGATGGGGACAAGCTGCCAGCACAGGGCAGAGACTGCCCTGCTCTAAAGCACAGCTTAAGGGAGGGTTGCTTGATTTGAGCTCTAAAATTTACCATCCAGCAGCTGATCACAGCGGGGATCACCCGGCAGCCAGTGGATACGTGCTCGGGGCAGGCTCCTACGTGCCTGCGGGCAGCCACAGCTTTGGCCAAATGCTTGCACGGGAGGTTGCAGGGCACGAGGTTTGAATGGCAAAGACAGCAGTCAGCAAGCTCATCTCTGCACACAGCCAGCCTGGGACTAACACCTAGCAGAGGGCAGGAGGTGGGAGCAAAGCGTGGCATCCCTTCTAGAAGGCTCCTTGGGCCCCCATGCCCATTTTTCAGCCACCTTGAACAGAGAAAGCAGTGCAGCTTTCTCCCCACTGGGCTGAACACAGCAGTCAGTTCCAGCAGACACTTGAGCAGTCTGTCACAGGAATTACAGATAAAGCATCCTGGATTTCCTATGAGATGGAGGGCCAGGCCATGGCAGGGGCTAACTGTGCCTGCAGCACCGTGCCTGACACAGCTGGATGTGCCTGACACAGCAGGTGGATGGCTCCATGCTGCAGCATTCACTTGGGAACATCCACGCTGGAGCAACTGAAGGCGTGGCTGTGCCAGCTAATGAGGCACAGGGGGCACTGGTGGGTTTAACAGCTGACCATGCATGAGGCCCCCAGCCACCTGCACACCTAGGAGACAGCCCACCCACCTGCCATCTGGTCTGCTAGAGCACATCACCTGAACACAGTGATTATTTGTGACAGAAACCAGCTGAAGTGTCACACTCCAGATCTCCTGAGTAACCCTTTGACGTGACCCAGTGAGCAGCCACATCAGTGTTTTCACCCAGGGCTTCAAGGCTGAGCTTCCACAAGAGACAAGGAAACATGTATTAAACAACAAGCAGACAGTCTCTCCAAAAAATAACACTCACACAAGACAAAGTTAGAGGTGAGGAAAAACAGACCAGAAACAGGCAGCTATGAAGAAACAATACTGTCACATTCAAACACAGGCCCATCTCTCCTTCATATGTGGCTTCAGGTCAGAGCTCTAACAATTCTCATCACAATTCAGCCTCAGGACACAACACACTTATCCCAAACAACAGACACACATCCCAGCCACTCCAGTATTTGGCTTTCTCACATGGGCCAGAGTCTTTATGACAGGTTTTGTTCAGTATGTTGAGTGGGATTTCCTTTGGCAGTATGGTCATGAGTGGGTCTAATACTTTTTTTTAATTTTAGGACTAAAATACTTCAGTGTCTAGGATGCTCTCAGCTTTGCTCTGCAGGCAGTTCTTGGTAAAGAACAAATCCCTACTGTCTTCAGGGAATTTAAAGGGCTTTACCTCAGCCCTTTAAACCTGCTAAAACAGGCAGAGATGGAAGCAAGAATATGCTCACATGCTCTGTAAACAGCTCCCTCCTGCAGATACATGCTCTGTGCCTGAGAACTCCAGGCAGGATTCAGATGGTGAGGCTGCAGCTCCCCAGTGAGCAAACCACCTCTTGTCCTTGTGGCCACTCTCCTCAGAGTGGCCCAGGGCTGCCCAGGTGTGTTTGATCCGGCTCGAGCGCCGCTCCCAAAGCAGCAGCCACTCTCAGCAACAGGACGAGCCCGATTTGGAGCTGGAGTTCAGGTCAATGGTGTGGCCCAGCATGCAGTGCTCCAGCTGCTCCTCCACCGCCAGCACCTGTCGCACGGCTTCCTCAAAGGCCACGGTCACATTGGTGTCATCCTTGGCACTAGTCTCCAGGTACGGGTAGTTACCGTTTTCCATGCACCACGCCCGGGCCTCCTCTGTGCTCACCTGTCTCTCCAGTTTGTCTATCTTGTTGCCCAGGACTACAAATGGGAAGTGCTCAGGGTCCTTCACATCAGCATAATAGATAAACTCCTTCTGCCAGTTACTGAGGTTCTCAAAGCTCTGCCTGTCATCCACGCTGAAGGTCAGCAGGCAGCAGTCTGCTCCCCGGTAAAAGGGCGTCCGCAGGCTCTTGAACCTCTCCTGTCCCGCAGTGTCCCAGATCTGGAGGGTCACAAACCGCCCGTCCACCTCCAGGTCCCGGTTCAGGAACTCCACCCCAATGGTGTGGAACGCCTGCGAGTCAAACTTGTTGGTGACGTAGCGATTCATGAGGGAGCTCTTCCCAACTCCACCATCTCCGAGGAGAATGACCTTCAGGAGCAAGGACTTGCCACTCATTGCAGCGGGACGGAGGGGCAGGGTACCAAGGCAATCTGCAGAAGCGTTCAGAAATAGTACAAAACAGCCGTTTCTTGTGGGTTCTGCAGAAGAACAGAATATGGTATTTCCATCCCCATTTCTGAAGTTTTGTATATAGGAGGTGATGTCTGTTTTTAGAGAGATCTTACCATCCTAATCTCTCTTATTAAAGAGTTTAGAGCTAGGAACTGGACAAACTTTCAGGCACTCAAGTCCTCCATCAGGTCCAAAATGGATGCAGCACATGACCCCTTAAGTGCAAGGCAAAAATAACTGTTGAGAGTTTAGTATCAATTACACTACTTTTGGTGAAAACTCTGTATCAGAAAGCTTGTCCAGTTTTTCCAAACACAACATCACTACTTCAAACATCTCTCCGGGCCTGCATCCTGTGAGGCTATCACAGAAACAGCCAAATCACCAGGGGCGACCATCACCAGGCCTTCCCTTGCACTGTACCATCACCAGCTAAATAATTTCTCCTCTCTGACTTGCTCTACTGGAAGGATGCACTAGATGGGCAGGTCTAATACCAACACAAGTAATTTGTCAAGCCAGTTGTTAATCACCCTGAGGATGCTGACTCACCTTGCCAGCGCAGCTGCGCGTGATCTCCGTGGCTCGGAAGGGGTTTCCCAGGCACAGGAGCAGCTGCTCCTTGCTGGCAGCGCCTGTCACAGCCCGGTGTGCTCAGGCTCAGCTGCAGGTTCACATTGCAACAACCCAGACACCACAGGTTCCTTAGTCAGCACCCTCAAGGCCAAGTGCCAATGCATGCTCCCCCTCCCAGGGACACTCTGCAGGTTAGGGTAAAGGCCTGACAGGAAATAAGAGGTTTGTTGGGTTGTTGTACTGTACCTGCTCTGTCTCCAGGACTGTCCAGGGAACACCTTCCTCCAGCGTTTCAGTCACTAAAAAACAAACATCAGTCATCAAGGTTACCAGAGCTGCCCTTGTGGTCTTTCAGTTTGTGATGCTGACTGAGGATGGAAGGACAACAGCAGAGCTCTAGGAACCTGCACGTGCAGTACTGATGGCTGGAGTAAAACAGCAAGAACACAGCACTGAGCAGTTTCCCTTGCCCTGAGTGAAATGGAAAAGAGCCCAGTTCTGGTCAGGGCAGAGCAAGTACAATGGGCATGCTGAACCCCAGGTAAGAACAGAACAAACTGAAGGAGCTCTGACATGAGAGCACAGGCTGTGCAACCTGTGTCTCCCCTCAGTCCAGGGGATGATAACAACTGTGATCTGCTTGCCCTGCCTACTCACACACCCTGGAATCTGATTAGAGGACTGAACACACAACTGAATCTACTAACTAGGATAGTGAGCCAGCAGGGAACAGCCGGGGATGAGAAGACAAGGAGCTTGCTTACACCTGCTACCAACATTCCTGGGAAGGGTGTGGATGAGTAGTGCTGCTTAGTGATGACATCTCCAACCCACTGAAGCAGGAGTGTGTGGCACTGCTCAGATCAGCACTCCTGCTCCTTCCAGGCCAAACCCTGCTTTCTGCCTTAACCTCGGGGGGCCCTGTTCAACCTTGATTCTGCTCTTTTTGCAGCTCTTTCAAACAGTGCTTACCACAAAGCCAAAAGCAGAAACTTCTGCTTTAAGTGAGTTTCTGCACTTTCTGCACAAAAGGCTCACAAATTTCACTTCCCTGCACAGAAACACCTCAAACCAAGTCCAGCTGAGCTAATCTGATGGGCTATTTGAGGAGCAGTGTGTGACCCAGTATTTCTAAAGCAAAGACCAAAATGCAAATGTCAGAAGAGACAAACAGGAACTGCAGCACAGGTCCCCAGGGCCCATGGCTTAGGGGAAATCCTGCCCCATGAGCAGGTGAGCTGTTCAATACCCTTGTTCCTTTCCAAACCTTCCTGAGGGATGCTTAAGACAGTCACTGCCACCAAAGCCCCTCCTGGCACAGGCCACCAGCACCCAGCAGAATTTCTGCTTAGAAATGCTCTGTGAGCAAGTGACTCTTTTTAAAAATGACTAATAGGTTCTGTCGGGCTGCTGCAGAGCCTGCAGGACTCAGAAGCAGGGCTCAGGTCAGCACCCGTGACACAGCCTTGACACCGCTGGTCCCGTTGCGAGCTCCGGAGGCTGAACCCCACCGCAGCAGGGCCGACCCGCTCTCGCAGGGCGCCGGCACCAACAGCGGGCTGGGCACGCCGGGTCCGACTCCCCCCTGCTCCCCAGGCCCCGGCGCGGCGGAGGCGAGACCCTCCGGCGGGTGCCATCCCGCCCCACGGGAGCGGCCAGGGAGGAGCCCGCCGCCGCGAGGGGTCCCCTCGGCACGGGCCGCGGTAAAGGGGCGGCTCTCCGGCCCCCCCTCCGCAGGTGCCCGGGCCAGGGGCGGCGGCGCCGGGCCCGCCCTTACCTGCGCACGCGCCTCCCGCCGGCCCGCACGGCCCGCCCTCGGCCGGCGGGACCGCCCCGAGCCCCTCAGGGGGCCGCGGTCACTCTCCTCACGGCTCCGCATGTTCTCCCTGTGCTTCCTCGGCCCCCTCATGGCTCCGCATGTCTCCCTTTTGCCTCCTCACGGCCCCGCATGTCCCCCCCTGTGCCTCCTCACCGTTCCGCATGTCCCCCCTGTGCCGCCTCAGCCCCTCACAGTCCCCCTGTGTAGCTATGATATTTTATGAAAAATCTTTTCTTAAGATTTCTTCCCCTCCTGAGAGCTGAGTGCCTCAGGAAAGAAATGTAAACAATAACTGTCTGCTGCTGTGGAATGCAACAGGTGCATCTTCCATTAATTCATGTAGATTGTTTTTAGTGACCAATCACAGCCACTTGTGCCAAGGCTGTGAGCAGTCACAAGATTTTGTTATGTATTCTATTCTATTCTATTCTTGGTTTTGTAGCCTTCTGATTCTTCCTCTCTCTCTATTCTTTTAGTATAGTTTTAATGTAGTATTTTAATATAATATGTAACATAATAAATCAGTCTTCTGAGAAAAATGGAGTCAAGTCTCGTGTCCTCACACTTGGGGCATTCACCGCAAGACCCCTGTCACTCCCTTCACGGCCCCGCATGTCCCCCCCGTGTCTCCTCAGCCTCCTCACAGTCCACCTGTCACTCTCCTCTTAATCCTACGTGTCCCCTCTGTGCCTCCTCAGCCCCCTCATGGTCCCGCATGTTCCCCTTTTGCCTCCTCAGCCCCCTCACAGTCCCCCCGTCACGCCCCTCACAGCCCCGCATGTCCCCCCTCTGCCTCCTCAGCACTCCCCTCTCCCAGTCCCACCTGTGCCCCCTCGCTGCCTCCCCTGTCACCCCTCGAGCTCCCGTCCCCTTAGTGTCCCCCTGTGCCACTCACAGTACCCCCGTCACTCCCCTCCACAGTCCCTGCATGTCCCCACTGTGGCCGGCAGCCCCGCACTGCTCGCCCCCGGCACTCCCCTCACAGTCCCACCTGTGCCCCCTCACAGTCCCCTCTGTCCCTCCCCTCACAGTCCTGCCTGTGCCCCCTCACAGTCCCCTCTGTCCCTCCCCTCACAGTCCTGCCTGTGCCCCCTCACAGTCCCCTCTGTCCCTCCCCTCACAGTCCTGCCTGTGCCCCCTCACAGTCCCCTCTGTCCCTCCCCTCACAGTCCTGCCTGTGCCCCCTCACAGTCCCCTCTGTCCCTCCCCTCACAGTCCTGCCTGTGCCCCCTCACAGTCCCCTCTGTCCCTCCCCTCACAGTCCTGCCTGTGCCCCCTCACAGTCCCCTCTGTCCCTCCCCTCACAGTCCCACCTGTGCCCCCTCACCGTCCCCTCTGTCACTCCCCTCACAGTCCCCGCATGTCCCCTGCCCCCCGCAGCCTCCTTAATGCCAGTCCCCATCACTCCCCGGTCTCCTGTCTCCTCACGGTCCCACATGTCGCAGCCCCTCACTGCCCTTCCCTGTCACTCCCCTCACAGTCCTGCCTGTGCCCCTCTCTGCCTGCCCCTGTCACTCCTCTCAGAGTCCACCCGTTCCCACTTTGTCACTTCAGTGACAGCTGCCCAAAAGAGCAAGACTCCCCCATCCTCACAATTGCTCATGGGTCAAGGAGCGAGAATGTCTTTAAGGAGGTTTCCGGGGAAGAACAGCTAATACAAACATTACTTTGAAGGGGAAAATTGTGGCCAGCCTTGCCCAGACTGTGAGAGCAGGGGGAGAGGGAAACCAGCCCCCCAGGTGGCTGCAGAGGGGTTTTGGGGATCAGCAGCCACTTGTGTGTTCCCCTGTGGTTGAACATCAACTCTTCTTCCTAATAGTGCCTGGTGCTCACCGAGATACACCTTTGAAACTTGGGGACACATCTCACTGGGGCTGCAACATGCCTTGGACACCTTCTCCAGGGGGGAAGAGCAGGGACCTCTGGTATGGACATCCAGGGCTTTTGGCCATCTGGATCCTGTGTCAGCTCCAGGGCTGAGTGGCTGCCACAAAAGTGCATAAATTCTCTTCTCCTCCTGGGAAAGCATGAGATAGGAGGAGGATTTAAATTAAGCCAGGGATTATATTAATACTGGCCTCAGTGATCTGTCAGAAGAGATGGGGAACAAGGAAAGCCTAGCGGGGTGAGGAGGGGGAGGGCAGCACAAGGGCCCAAGGTCGAGGCTGTTTGCAGTAGGGGACCAGGGCAGCCTGGGGAAAATGTGGGAGCTCCAGGGGTGTGCATTTGGGGCACATCCCTGTACACAGCAGCACCAGAAGTGCAGGATGCTGCTGGTACCAGTGACAGACACAGCCTGCACCAGCCACTGGGAGATCCCTCCAAACCAGTCCAGATCCCCATGCCAGCTCTGTCAGGACCATGCATTGCTGGAGTGAGCCTCTGAGCATGGCACACTTGCCCCTGCCAAGTTCCCTTTGCCTGGGAGCCATTCAATCCTGTCATTTGCCAGTATTTATTGATAAGGGATCTGATTTAACATGTAAGGGGTGAGCTTTGATTATGAACAAGAAAGAGCCGCCACGGCAGATCCTGCCAAGGCAGCGGAGGCATGATGCTCTGCTGCAGCACTGTGCCTTCCTGCACCGCCCCTGTCAGGCCTGGCAGACACCTAATCCTCGGGGGAGGGTTTAGGGAGGGCAGCACATCCCTGCAGCTCAGCCAAAGATGCCACATGGCCAGTGACCCCAGCTGACCATGCTTGAGCTCAGGGTACCCTGTGTACCTCCAGGGTACTCTGTGGGTGCTGGCAGCTGGTGGAGTCTCTTGGCTACCTGAGCAGGGATGTGCCTGGTCTGATTTGGCTCCCAGTGGCTGTGCAGTCTGGTTGTCTTGCTGAGCTGGATAACAACCTGTTTGGCACCTGTGGTGGACACCAGTTACCCACCAAGCTTCTCTAGCACTCCCTTCCTCAGCAGATAGGGCAGGGAGAAAGTAAGATGGAAAAGAACTTGTGGTCAAGGTAAAGGCAGATTAATAAAGCAAAAGCTGCATGCAAAAGCTAAGGAAAGCTCTACTTCCCATCAGTAGGTGATGTCCAGTGGCTTTTGGGGAAGTAGGGCTTAAGCACCCTACTGTGCTGAGCACTGTTCTGAGCTCATACTCTGCACCATAGTGGTTGCCTTCTTGTGTCTCTACAGCAATCATGTTGGCATATATATTCTTCTTTTTGGAATTTCCTCCTCTTAACAGCTCTCTTCCCTCTCATGTCTCACACATGGGCTTTCTGCTTAAAGCTGGGTTCACCATCCCACTGCTTGTTTTCGTCCCCTGTTCAGGCAAGAAGAAACAGAGTACAGCACATGGATCTAGGGCTCACTGTCCCTCTGAGCAGGGCAGGAGGGGACTGACTTCTTGGGGTGTCCCTCACAGCCAAGGCACTGGCTTATAGGCATGAGGAGGGACAGATATTTCATCAAAGTTCTGGAGCCAAGAAGGTGTTTTCTTCAAAGCTGTTTTCATATCTGGGTGATAACATTGCTGCCAAGCTGCCAGAATGACACTGGGGCACACTGAATCATCTTCCTCCACACAGCTTCTGTGCACTGCACACCCTCTGCATCTCTGGAGACATCATCATTGTCTAGGTCACTGTAGATGACCTCCAGCATTATTTAATTCTCTCAGGTGCTGCATGCCTTCACCTGTGCTGGTCCGCTTTCCTGAGCAGTTCACAAGGTCTTTCCTGGATGGATATCTTGCCCTCACACTTGAGAGGAACTACCTGCAGAGACTGTAAATTGCTGCCACAAAGCCCCAGTTGTTAATTAGTAGTTTTAAACAGCCTGTGTAAGGGTGAGCAGGGACCTCTTGAGCCTGCACAATAAAGTCACCCACATCAGTCCTGGGTAAGGAGAGGGAGATGTATTCCCTGATCCTCTCCACAAGGCAGCTCCCCCAGCAGAGCAAGGCCATCAGTGCCAGGGCAAAGCACAGAGCCATGCTTTGTACTAACATGTTCCCAAAGCCCAGCAAAGCAAAGAGATAAGAAATGCAGCCAGCAAACTCTGTGACCCAACAGGAGCTGCCTGCTTAGTAACTACTATGGCTAAAGCACACTTAGCACAAGTTAAGGAATGGGCTTATCTGGGCATGACCTTGTGCAGCTGAGAGCAGCACTGGCCTGGCCCCGTGGCCAGGAGGGGACCTCGCCTGTGGGTCCTGGGCACCAGGGGGATTTGTCTGGAGAGGGGGATGTGTCCCAGGAGCCATGTGCTGGGCGAGCAGTACCAGGGGCTTGCACTGGGGCAGGGACTCTACAGGGTGCAGGGCTCCTTCAGCATGAGAGGTTTTACTCCCCTGGCTCAGCTGCATCCCTGCCCAGAGAGGCTGCAGCAATTGTATGGCTGCCTTGGCTCTCACTGCCAGCTCTGGGAGTTAGAGCAAACAACAGGAAACTGGTGCCAAGGTGAGGAGCCCTGATCCAGCTTCGACCCCCTGCCAGCCTGTGGTCACACAATGCTGCTAGCTCATGCCTCGATTAATTCATCACACGTCCAGTGCTGCAGCTGGGGCTTGGGCCTCTGCTTTTGTTCCAGCCCCGCTGCACGGCTCTGCAGCTGCTTCTCCAAGACGTGTACCCAGCAGCAGCTCCAGCCTGTGGCATCTGCTCTGGAACAATTTCCAGCACAGGAACCTCCTGAGCAGTCTTGCCACCCCTAGCCTTAGCCACCCCATTTGCCCTGAGCCTACAGCTCTGAGCAAGTTGTCAGGTACATCATCCATTTATCTCCCCAGGAAGGAGCTCCATAGGTGGAGCAAAGCTGGGGAAGACCCCATGATTCATCCCCCTCTACCCCGCACAGCTCACCCTGCCCTAAAAAAGTGACCTATCTTGTTTTTGTGAGCTGGTCTGAGGCAGCAGGGAGGGGGACATGCCTGGGCTGCAGAGCTGCCTCAGCAGACACAACACTGCAGGCAGGGGCT